ATCCTGGCCCTATAGCCGTGTCCTGTGGTTAGATCCTGCTCCTATAGCCGTGTCCTGAATAGCCCAGCTGTATAGTCCAGTCTGGCAGCTCAGGCCTATAGTCCCCTTGCATCAAGCTGAGCTATAGGGCCAGCAGCGTAGCCAGCAGAAGCTCAGAAAATACCTCTTTTTTTGGCCACTAAAGAGCCTGGACTCGGACTTGTAGTAACACTTTGATTTTATTAAATTTCATTCAAAAACAACCACAATAAATAAAAAGAAACGACCAAGACCTTCCTCATGTAGTACAGAGCGAGAAAGACAGGGCTCCCGGGGTGCAGAGCGGGGGCAGACGGGGCCCCCCCACACTCGAGCACTCCGTTAAAACCAGTCGATAGCCCCAGGGGGACACACGGATGCCTCTCAGCCACCTCGCAAAATCCCCTGTCCCCCTGAGCGTTATGGAAAAAGGACTAAAAACAGCAACGCCGGGCGAGCGGGCACCGAGGGGACCATCGCCAGTGCACGGGTCGCAGCAGACGGCACCACGCGGAGCCATCGCCTCGAGCGCAAGCGGTGCCGAGCTCCAGCCCCAGCTCTCCGCGGGCCCTGGACGGTGGCCAGGGCTGCACGGGTGACGCCTGGGCTAGTTGTGCCGGTACAGGCGGTCCCGCGTGGCCACGCTGACCTTCTGCTGGTAGTCCTCGATCTTGTCGTGTACCTTCTGGTAGAGCTGCAGAGAGGCAAAGCGGCCCTTAGAGAGGGGAAAGACGCTCCTCTCCCTCCGACCCAATCCCACCTTTCTCCTGCTCGCACACAGGAGCAGCCGGCAGCTCGCGGGGTTTTTGGGGTCCCTCGGCAGCACTGGGAGGGCTCCGGGACCCACTCGGCACACGGAGATGGACAACCATCCCCAGGGATGGACCCCAGGCACAAGCGAGAGAAGCAGCAGCGAGCCCCACGCTGCAGCAGGCAGTCACAGGCTCCAGCTCCTCCTTGCCCCGCTCTGAGCTGCCCCTGGATTTTCTCCCTTCCCCCCTGGATTTTCTCCCGGGAAGGTGGCGCGTGGGGCGGCAGCGCTACCTACCCCCATGTTGTGCTGGTTCGTGGTGCTCTCCCTCAAGGCCTGGAGCAGCTGGTCGATAGCAGTGTAGGGCAGCCACACCATGGGGGCTGTGGCAGACAGAGGGAACTGGAGGGAAGAGGAAACCTTATGGTGTGCGGCGTTCGGGGCAGAAACGCTGCCCCAAACTTCCTGGGTGAGCAAGAGCCCTTTCCAACACCTTTTTTTTTGGTGTGCGTGTTTATTAATCCCACTAAAAGGTGCCCTCCTCTCCAGCACGGATTATTCGTACTAGTTTCTCCTGTAATGAGTTGTCCCGACTCATTCAAACACAAGCCAGCACTGAGCAGTGGATTTCCCCTAGGGAAGCAGCTCCGAATTAAACGGAGGCACAGGAGGCTCTCGGAAAAGCTGCTTTGCTGCCCACCCCTCCACCCCAAATGTGAGGTGACTCTTAGCTGTTGCCTCAGGGGAAGCGAAGAGGGAAGAGAGGAGAACGATGCGACGCATCCCACACTCACCTCAATTCCAAAATACTGGTGGCCTTTGCCGAGCACGGCATCTATGTACTCCAGGACCAGATCCACGGCTTCCTCCAGCAGATCGTAGTTCAGATAGAGGCGCAGCAGCTCAGCAGCATCCACTTTCTGCAAGGAAAGGGCACTGGTGTCAGCCTGTTTCTTTTGTTTTTGCCAGGAAACTTTAAGAACTGCTAGGATATTTAGAGGAACAGTGCTGAGCCCCAGGAATAGGCACCAGGGATCCAACGCAGGTTCCCAAAGCTGGGGGCAGCAGAGAGAGAGGAAAAGTCGCCCTGCAAATGCCCAGCTGGGGTGTTTGCCAAAGCCAAGGGCAGCAGCCAGGATGCCAGGGACTTTGGGGCCTGGGCGCAGGATGCGTTGAGTAGCGCCCGCGTCCGAATCCTCACCTTGTAGCTGTTGATGAGCCAGTTGGGCAGCGGGATTCCGTGCGCCAGGAGCTTGTTGATGACGCAGCGGTGGTGCAGGCTGTTCTGCGCCGGGTAGCGCTCCAGGTAGGACGAGAGCAGGCGCCAGGCTTCGTCCGTGGCGCTGCAAAACGCCGCGTCCCCTCAGCGCGCGCACGCGCGCCACGCTCCCGTCCTCCCTCCTGCCACCCAGGACCTACGTGGACTCCTTGGTGGTGACCAGCGCGGAGAGCTGGTTGGCTGCTAGCCAGTCCCAAGCCTCGGCTTGCGCCGCTTCGCCTCCCAGCTGCAGCTTGATGCACCTTGAACACACAGAGCGGGCACAGGGCGAATGCAAGCGCCGTCAGCGCGCGGCCCGTTCGCCCCGTGGCACCGGCCACCGCACACACAGGACTATTCCCAAGCAACTGATATGAATTAACTGGCTTGGCAGGGGAAAATAAAATAATAATAATACGCTATTAGGGTGGTTTCTAAGCTGCTCTAATTACCAAAGAGGAATTAGTAAATGCTCTGATGTTTGTGAGCTAAGAGGCCCTCAACCCATCCAGCAGCAGGAACAAGCCAGGGCAGAGCTCCCAAACGGCCCTGCAGACCCAGCACGTTCTGGGCAAGTGTGAAAGGGCAAAGGGAATGCCCAGGTCAGACAGGAGGCACGAGGGCAAGCAGCCTAGCCCAGAGAGCGGGCGGACAGCAGCGCCCTGCCAGCCGCTCAAGGGCTCCAACAAAGCTCCTGCGAGTGTGAGCAGCAGCGCGGCCAGGCCACGGCTGCACCGGCCTCGGGGACAGCTGTGGCTTTGGGGTGGCAGCCCTCCCTGCCGACACAAGGGAGGGATGTCCCCTCCGCTAGCGCTCAGCCAGGCTGCTCTGTGTCTCCTTTGCAGGCATCAGGAGTGAGTTGCCCCGGGAGGCAGAACCTTAGCACGTACTTGAAAGTGAGTCCCTCAAAGACGGGCGTCAAGGGGAGCTTGAACGTTTGGCACAGGCTAATGGCGGTGTCGAAGAGGCCGGCCCGGACCAGGAGAGCGACCGTCTCCTCGGGCGTAGAGCTGCCTGTGGGGCATGAGGAGCAGGTTGGCGCCTTCACCCCGGGCCCCACGCGACCTTGCTCCACGTCCCTCCCTCGTACCTGCCACAGCGGCCGTTGACAAGTCGTGCTGCACCAGAGTCAGCCGGATCTGGGCCAACACGCACTCCTTCTCCAGATCCTTCAGCTCCAGGATCTCGATCTTACGTGTGGCTGTATCGGATATAAATTAACGTTTTTTTAAAAAAAAAGATTCCTTGGGGATCATGCAGAATGCCCACATCCCCTGACATCCTAAGCAAGGTCACAGCACTGCCAAGCACGCAGAGACGAGCCACATCAGCAGGGCGTTCGGGAGGGTGAACAACACAAAGTTAAAGAGCTAGAAGCTGCCTAAGGCATCTGCTATGCAGCAGTTTCCCTGGCAAACACCAGCACTGAGAGAGTTAACTGGCTCCCAATCCCCCAAATAATTAATCTGCTAGAAATGAGAGAGGTGCGAGGCGTCCACCAGGCTCCCACGGGAGCAGCAGAGCTCCGAGGCAATGGGAAAGGCTCTGGGAACATGAGAGAAGGAAACACCGGGAGCAGGCGCTTACTTGGCACAGCCGTGCATTCCCCATCATGGCTTCTCTTTGGGGATGCTCCTGGGCGCTCATACTTCCAGGGAAAATGAAAAAAAGCAAAGGAAAGAGGGTTCGTGTCCAGGTTTCCAAAAGGCAAAACACCCTGTTTAAGTTTCAGCCAGGAAGGAGGCTGTCGCAGAGGGGATTGTGGAAGCGCTTTCCCAGGCGCAGGGGGCCGCGTCCTGCGTTTCCTACCACGGCTCCTGAGGCGGGCTGCACTATCCAGGCGTACTCGGGGCGGATCAGCCGCAGGCAGTTGATGGCGGCGAGGAAGCAGTTCCCTTGTTTCTGGAGCCCGCGGAGCGTGCGCACCTCCCTGCCCAGGCGCATGCCGTACTCGAACATCACTGTCCCGGCTAAGGGGAGAGGGCCGACATGTCAGACCCGCCGGTTTCCCTCCCCGCGCGCA